AAAAAAAACGAAGAAATAGGAAGTATAATAGAGGAGTTAAAAGCAAACAAAACGTATAAGAAAAATAAAAACTGTCTGATCCTACCAGAGGATGGACAGTTATATTATATAACAAATAAGGAAGATGACCCGATTTTAAGGAAATATATCCCCAAGCATCTATACTTGAGAGTGCTGAACCAGTATCACAATGACAATGGCCACTTGGGAATAGATCGCCCTTACGATGCTATTAGAGCAAAATTTATGAAACATCGCACCATTTATGATATTATTGCAAAACACGTAGATGACAACAAGAGAGACTGGGATCTTTATTTAAATCAAGCGTTAGGAGCCATAAGAACAAATTCAAATGAGAGAACTAAGCATTCACCATATTTTTTTCTGCACGGTCGACAGCCATTACTACCACTTGATAACTTGCTTAAACCCCGAAGAAAGTACATGGGTGAAGATTTTCACGAGGTAGTATTACAGGAAATGCATAAGGCTCACGTTAAAGTACGGGGGAATGTTAAAAAAAACGTTTGACAAACGTAAACAGTACGCAGACAAAAATGTTGTTTTAGCAGAGTTTAATGTCGGAGATAACGTATTTTTCAAAAAACACGTCAGAGAATCTAAGTTTGACAACCGGTGGACGGCCGGATACTTCGTGTTAGAACGTCTAGGGCCGGTAACCTACCTTATTAAGAAACTTTAACATAGAAGAAGAAAAGGAAATTAGGCGAGCGTGTAAAGAACGCTCCGCTTAATCTAGCGAAGGAAATGTACCGATTTTTGAAAGACAGAAAATTATGTCAGAGAGAGAACGTCGGGCATTATTACTTAAGGCGGAGTCTACTGAAGCGTCGGAAAGCTCAGAGGAGATGAGAAGCGACACAGATAGTTATGGAAACGCAGGCGATTATGAAACAGATCAGGACATGGCCGAGCCCAGAAGAAGAAAGAGAAACCGAGGGCATACGTCATCCAGTCAGGAGGACTACAACCTACCGCATAAAAAGAGAGAGACAAGAGTGAGTGCCATACACGTACACAGAAAAAAATAGACATTAAGGCGAGGGAGAGGTAGCAGATAGAAAATTTTCCACTGAAAGGAGACGTCCGAGACAGGACATTTCTGAAATAAAAAAGGGACGTACAGATCTAAAAGAGGAATTAGTTTTACAAACACACAGAGACGCAGCGAAAGACAAACAGAAGAAGGAAGAGTTTGTAGAAGCAAAGGTGACAATCTTGAACCTGGGTCGGTAGAAATCGACAGAAGCTGTAGGACTGACGAGACACAAATGACAGATATTATAACTGAACCAGTAGAAGATAACCAATTCTTTAATGTCTTTCATTTTATATCGAGTCTAATGGGCATAAAGGCTGACAAAAAGCGAACAGAAATCAGCAGGGTGTAGACTGAATTTATACCCTGAGTAAACCATACATTAATTACAGCTCCCCCCCCCTCCCTCTCACCATGACTGACTGAAATGGGATCGTTCGTAAAATGGTTCAATAAATGTGGGATTGTAGGGTGTATAACAAGTAATTAGTTTTATTAATTATAATTTACGTACGCTATATTGCTGTGTACAGAGGTACCGCGCTCGCTACACATATTCTGTTGTTGTGTCTACATGTCAATTGTCTAAAACTAATAAATATATACCTGTTGTTTTGTCCCTACCATTTAATATTTACATTTTGTTTTGCACTATGAACGTTGTTTAATCGTGTTGTACTCTCCCGGACAAGTGAAAATCCACACATTCGGTTGTGGGTAAAGATTACAATACCTACATATTTTATGTTCGCTAAGAGAGTTACTGGCCACAAAACCTCTCTTATACATTCTGCCAGAAACATGACTGATTTGAGTCACTAGAGAAGATTATCATGTTTAACCAGACTTTACTGAAGTACACAGTTAAAAATGTACTTGGCGATAAGCCATTTCAAAGCATGACATGATTTGTAAATGAATACACGCCGGCTATTTCTTTACTGAAGATGCGATATGCATTGAACAGAGGAAGCAACCTCTTAAGGAAGCCCAATAAACGCTATTGACTCTCACAGTAGATAAATAACTAAATGCAGGAGGTGGCATTGCACATTCGACTTGAAGAAATGCTACTGTTCGTTTCTGAGATATTCTCTCCAGTTAGTATACCTAACGGTATAAGAATCCTTATACTCTGTAAAGGTTATACTTCATTATTCAGTCTATGTTGACTTTCTCAGAGGTTCTATTTTCATCCTTTCTTGGGGAGATGATATTTTCGAGTTTTACTTTATTGATAACTGGGGATACATGGCATGTCATTTCTTGTTGTATGTATATATATATATATATATATATATATATATATATATATATATATATATATGAACTATTTTCAATATATTACAATGTTTATCATTTTATTTTATCTAACTAGTAATCGTATAGATGTTCAGTAACCGTTGTCGATGTGATTATGGAGATATCGCCTTACATGAAAAATTATCTGGTTTGAATTTATATAATGGGAATACAAATACTATTCCTGTATACTTCAGACAACTCCGCACATTCATTAGGGTAACCAGTGAATCAGAGGTTGTTATGCTAATACAACGAGGAAGTTGTATCGTTTATTTTACGTCTTTCGAATTATTGACTATTAGTTATTGTATGAATGTCACGTTTTCCTTATACTGCATGAATTGTATTATGTTACATGTTATGATGTATGCTTTCATTACGGGGCTAGATGTTCATATAAGGTCTAGTTAGGTAGCGGGTCTAATTAGAATAGTTTGTAGAGATTAAAATGCAGATAAGAAGCATTTAAAAAAATAAAGTAGGGGGCGAATGTAATGAAATATAGGCAGAAAGGGGTTAAATGAACAAAGCATACATCTCAGATCAGCATAAAAGCACGCCTATCCGTCACTCGTTGGCATGACAGAAAACAGTGATTAGAAAGCTGGCCGACCAGCGATACAGATACAACCAGATGCACTGTGACCAGTTGAAGAGATACGTTTATCCAAACGTGACCACCAAAGACAGGTGACCGGGTGGTGATTGAGAACGCACGCGAGAAAGAGAGGAAAAGCGAGGGGAATTCAGTTAGTAGCGAGCGGCTGGAGGGAGCAGACAAGTCAGTCAGTAGCGAGCCACTGGAGAGAACAGTTAGGACTGGACCGCTTGAGAGACCAGCTGGGAAAACTAGAGCTGTACTTCGTTTAGAAGATATATATATAAAACTTGGAGTTTAGCTAAGAGAGTGATTAAGGAACTCATAGAGATACATACGAATAGCCAGTAATAAGATAATGAAGTGTTCCAAACTATTGGTTATTGAAATGATTCATTCTGTTTGACTTGATAATATTATTAATAAATAAACTGCTGTGTAATTGTTACACCACTGGCCTTGTTCTTGAGTACATTCAAGAGAGCTACGAACTGTATCCAGACACCTTGGCCGAATTAGGCACATCCAAACTTGGGGGATGTGAAGACCACGACTGTGTCACACAGCGACTACACAAATCTTATCTTGGGTGGCTACTCAAATGTTGGATCACTCCAGAGACTACACAAATCTTATCCTGCGTGGCTACTCAAATGTTGGATCACTCCAGAGACTACACAAATCTTATCCTGGGTAGCTACTCAAATGTTGGATCACTCCCGAGACTACACAAATCTTATCCTGGGTAGCTACTCAAATGTTGGATCACTCCATAGACTACGCAATTCTTATCATGGGTAGCTACTCAAATGTTGGATCACTCCAGAGACTACACAAATCATATCCTGGGTAGCTACTCAAATTTTGGATTACTCCAGAGATCACACAGATCTCATCCTGGGTGGGAGAACAACGGGGCAATCCCTAAGACTCCGTCTAACCCCCCAAAAAGCTGTAATTAGGCCACCCATAACGATGCTTAGTCAGCCTGCTGTAACCTGTAGATCTGCGTTGGTAAGGACTCAGGGATAACGCAGGCTTGGCTACCCCACAAGATTACCAGAATCCCAGACCAGGTTGGCGATCTAATTTTGCCAGGTTAAACAGGCAAACACTAGCAGAGCAGGCTTCGGAAAATTGAAACTGGCCACCTAAGTGGCTTGCATCGGTAATAGGACCTATGAGCATATCAGATGTGGACTTTCTGTCCAGCATAGTCAGGTGTGTGAGGTGAGGAGATGCCGCTCCTCTGGGCGTTTAGCTACGTTATGAAAAAGCTGGTGTGCGAAGTCTGCGTGGGATCAAATGTAATGTGCAATGGGAGAGAGAGAATTAATACAGTTAAAGATTAATTTAACGCTCGTTGAAAAGAGGTTCTGAAAGATATTCAACATCAAAGGGAAAACAAGAGGCGGACTTTTAATCAGGTTCTGGCTGGTACTGTTAGTATCTCGACGCTTCGTTGGCTACTGAAGAAGGGGACGGAGCACATGTGGGAATGTCCTAAGTGTAGAGGTGTCAGTGCTTGATACCTTGACTTATTCCTTCCAGGCATGGAGGCCAACCTTGGGCACCCCCTCCTCCCACCTCCTTTTGAAACTCGTTTATTGGATGAGCCTCTTAAACAATTCTAATGTGTTTTGCACTAGGGCTAGGTCGTTCACGTTAACTACGGTTAGAAGTTCCTTTTCCAATTAGTCTTTAAAAAAATACATATCGCATTACAAAACATAAATTATTATAATAATTTGCCATCCATCACACACTAACAATACTAAATGTTGTTGTTATTGTTATTAATATTTTGATAATTATTTGGTTACATAAGTATGGCCCTTGAAAATTGTATGTAAGCTCAGCGGCCTCTTCTCCTCTAGTTACCTCGGTGGTGGTGCGCCTGCCGCTGTATTCTTCTCTCCTTGTCTTCATCTGTGTGGAAAAATGACTTAATATGGCATCTTGAGAAAGGTAGTTTGCCATTGATTTCCTGCTGACACCCGCGTTTGCTGTTTAACACGATGTGTTTCAACACAGGTCGCAACGTAGCCATACATCAAGAGACGTGGCAGTCAAGCACTAACAGCAGGCAGGCCGATTCGAGCGGCTCACATCTGGCAGTCGATGGAAACAGCGATCAAGAATCGTCCCACGGCTCGTGCATGCAGACGACAGCGGAAACACAGGGCCCTTTCTGGAAACTGACTTTTAAACAGCCACATATTCTCATTCGAGCCGTGATTTTCAATAGACTTCGTGGTAATTATGTCAAGTCAAATTATTTAATTAATTATTTAATTAATAACACGGTTAAAAAGACAAAAATAAACCCATTTACAAGCCAGGGGCTGACTGAACATATTGTGCTTGATCCACATGGTTATAGTCCAGGTGGTTAAGCAGTGTGTGTCACAGGTGGTTCAACTGTGTGTTACAGGTGATTCATCTAGGCGTATCACAGGGGGGTAAACTGTGTGTGCCACATGTTATTAAGCAATGTCTGTGTGTCACAGATAGTTCAAATGGGTGGCAACTGGTGGTTCATCTAGGTGTGCCACAAGTGGTTCATCTGGGTCTGGGTGTGTCACAGGTGGTTCAACTGGGTGTGTCACAGGTGGTTCAACTGGGTGTGTCACAGGTGGTTCAACTGGGTGTGTCACAGGTGGTTCAACTGGGTGTGTCACAGGTGGTTCGAGTGGGTGACCACTGGTGGTTCCTCTGGGTGTGCCACAAGTGGTTCATCTGGGTGTGTCACAGGTGGTTCAACTGGGTGTGCCGTGGGTGATTCGAATGGGTGACCACTGGTGTTTCCTCTGGGTGTGCCACAAATGGTTCATCTGGGTATGCTAAAAGTGGTTCAACTTGGTGTGCTACAGTTGGTTAGGCTGTGTGTGTCAGAGGTGGTTCCTCTGGGTGTGCCACAAGTGGTTCTTCTGGGTGTGTCACATGTGGTTCACCTGAGTGTGTCTAGGTGGTTGGTTTAGTGTTTGCCACAGGTGGTTCCTGTACTGTTTGCCACAATTGGTTCAACTGGGTGTGCCACAAGTGGTTTACTGTGTACTGTTTGCCACAATTGGTTTTACTGGGTTGCCACATGTGGTTTATCTGTGTACTGTTTGCCACAATTGGTTCACTGTTTGCCACAGGTGGTTCATACTGGGTACTGTTTGCCACAATGTGGTTTTACTGTTTGCCACAATTGGTGTACTGTGTACTGTTGCCAGAATTGGTTTACTGGTACTGTTTGCCAGAATTGGTTTACTGTGTGTGTTTGCCACAGGTTGGTTTACTGAGTACTGTTGCCACAATTGGGTTTACTGTGTACTGTTTGCCACAATTGTTTTACTGTGTACTGTTTGCCATAATTGGTTTACTGTGTACAGTGGGCCATAATTGTTTACTGTGTTCCACTGTTGCCACAGTTTGTTTACTGTGTACAGTTGTCCATAATTGGTTAACTGTGTACTGTTTTGCCACAAGTTGGTTTACTGTGTACTGTGCTGCCACAATTGGTTTACTGTGTACTGTTTGCCACAGTTGGTTTACTGTGTACTGTTTGCCACAGTTGGTTTACTGTGTACTGTTTGCCACAATTGGTTTACTGTGTACAGTTTGCCACAATTGGTTTACTGTGTACTGTTTGCCACAATTGGTTTACTGTGTACTGTTTGCCACAATTGGTTTACTGTGTACTGTTTGCCACAATTGGTTTACTGTGTACTGTTTGCCACAATTGGTTTACTGTGTACTGTTTGCCACAGTTGGTTTAATGTTTGCCACAATTTGTTTACTGTGTACTTTATGCCACAATTGATTTACTGTGTACTGTTTGCCACAGTTGGTTTACTGTGTACTGTTTGCCACAATTGGTTTACTGTGTACTGTTTGCCATAATTAGTTTACTGTATATGTCACAACTGGTTTACAAGTGTACTGTTTGCCCACAATTGGTTTACATGTGTACTGTTTACAAGTGGTTGAACTTTGTGTGCCACAGTGCTTTACTGTGTACTGTTTAAGCCACAAGTTGGTTTACTGCCAAAATGTTACTGTTTTTTATAGCCAGAATTGGTTTACTTAGGCTCGTATTCTGTTTGTCGCAACCCTTGGTTTGATTGTGATAAACTGCGTAAATCTGGAAGAAATGGTTTTCTGTGTACCCCTGGGCAGAACCCGGACCACAAGTTTCGTCAACCGGTCAATTGTGCAGTTACTGTGTACTGTTTAACATGTGTGCCACAGGTGGTGCAACTGAGTTGTACAGGTGTCACTGTTTGTGTGCCCCGGGTGGTTCAATTGGTTTACATGTGTTTACTGTTTGCCACAGGTGATTCAACTGTGTGTGTGTTACAAGTGGTTCAGCTGGGTGCGCCCTGTGTGGTTAAACTGGCAGTGCCACAGATGGTTCAGCTGGGTGTGCCACAAGTTGTTTAACTATGTGCCACAGGTGGTTCAGCTGGGTGTGCCACAAGTTGTTTAACTAGGTGTGCCACAGGTGGTTCAGCTGGGTGTGCCACAAGTTGTTTAACTAGGTGTGCCACAGGTGGTTCAGCTGGGTGTGCCACAAGTTGTTTAACTAGGTGTGCCACAGGTGATCCAGCTGGGCGTGCCACAAGTGGTTTGACTGGGTGTTCCAAAAGTGGTTCTACTGGGTGCGCCACACCCGGTCCATTTTGTGTTCTCTGAAGATGACGTTGACGTTGAAATTAAAAAAAAATAAATAAAAAAAATCGGACGCTTCAGCGTGTCACTGGGGCCTGAAGATGAAAAATCTAGATACAATAATTAGTCACATAATCGTTAACCTCAATTGTAAACAAATAAACTGAAGAATCATTTGATTCCTCGTCAAAAGTAATTCGACAAATATGTAAACAGATTAGTCTGTGATAAGGACGTATGTATCTTTCAGACAATGATCGTAACTTTATCGGCAACACACTGGAGACCTTCGACCGGTTTAACAACCCCACTGGCTATACCAAGGTGTCAGCGACGGAAACCTCCGGTATCTATGAGATCATGATTTTAACTCGGACCCTCACAGCATCAGTCAAAATTATCAGACCTCCCAATATTGCCATTTACGATCGCGTTTTGAATCTCTGCGAGGTATTTTTATATGGAGGTAAGATGTTAGTTTTTGTAGAGCTTCATATCTGGTTATTATAAGGAGGTGATATGTTAGTTTTTGTAGAGCTGCATATATGGTTATTATAAGGAGGTGAGATGTTAGTTTCTGTAGAGCTGCAAATCTGGTTATTATAAGGAGGTGAGATGTTAGTTTCTGTAGAGCTGGCATATCTGGTTTATTATAAGGAGGTGGATGTGTTTTTGCAGACAATCTGGTTATTATAAGGAGGGTGTGTTAGTTTCTGTAGAGCTTCATATCTGGTTTTATAAGGAGGTGAGATGTTAGTTTTTGTAGAGCTGGGTTATTATAAGGAGGTGAGATGTTAGTTTTTGTAGAGCTTCATATCTGGTTATTATAAGGAGGTGAGATGCTAGTTTTTGTAGAGCTTCATGGTTATTATAAGGAGGTGAGATGTTAGTTTCTGTAGAGCTATATCTGGTTATTATAAGGAGGTGGTTTAGTTTCTGTAGAGCTGCATATCTGGTTATTATAAGGAGGTGAGATGTTAGTTTTTGTAGAGCTTCATATTGGTTATTATAAGGAGGTGAGATGTTAGTTTTTGTAGAGCTGCATATCTGGTTATTATATAAGAGGTGAGATGTTGTTTCTGTAGAGCTTTAGGCTGGTTATTAAGGAGGTGAGATGTTAGTTTTGTCTGCAATCTGGTTATTATAAGGAGGTGAGGATGTTAGTTTCTGTAGAGCTGCATACAAGGAGGTGAGATGTTAGTTTCTGTAGAGCTTCATATCTGGTTATTATAAGGAGGTGAGATGTTAGTTTTTGTAGAGCTTCATATCTGGTTATTATAAGGAGGTGAGATGTTAGTTTTTGTAGAGCTGCATATCTGGTTATTACTAAGGAGGTTAGATGTTAGTTTTTGTAGAGCTGCATATCTGGTTTATATAAGGAGGTGAGATGTTAGTTTTTGTAGAGCTGCATATCTGGTTATTATAATTTGAGATGTTAGTTTTAGAGCTGCAATCTGGTTATTATAAGGAGGTGAGATGTTAGTTTTTGTAGAGCTTCATATCTGGTTATTATAAGGAGGTGAGATGTTAGTTTTTGTAGAGCTTTATCTGGTTATTATAAGAGGTGAGATGTTAGTTTTTGTAGAGCTTCTATCTGGTTATTATAAGGAGGTGAGATGTTAGTTTTTGTAGAGCTTCATACCTGGTTATTATAAGGAGGTGAGATGTTAGTTTTTGTAGAGCTTCATACTGGTTATTATAAGGAGGTGAGATGTTAGTTTTTGTAGATGTATCTGGTTTTATAAGGAGGTGAGATGTTAGTTTCTGTAGAGCTCCATATCTGGTTATTATAAGGAGGTGAGATGTTAGTTTCTGTAAGAGCTGAGATATCTGGTTATTATAAGGAGGTGAGATGTTAGTTTTTTGTAGAGCTGCATATCTGGTTATTATAAGGAGGTGAGATGTTAGTTTTTGTAGAGCTTCATATCTGGTTATTATAAGGAGGTGAGATGTTAGTTTTTGTAGAGCTGCATTATCTGGTTATTATAAGGAGGTGAGATGTTAGTTTCTGTAGAGCTTCATATCTGGTTATTATAAGGAGGTGAGATGTTAGTTTTTGTAGAGCTCCATATCTGGTTATTATAAGGAGGTGAGATGTTAGTTTTTGTAGAGCTTCATACCTGGTTATTATAAGGAGGTGAGATGTTAGTTTTTTAGAGCTTTTGGTTATTATAAGGAGGTGAGATGTTAGTTTTTGTGAAGCTTCATATATTATAAGGAGGTGAGATGTTAGTTTTTGTAGAGCTTCATATCTGGTTATTATAAGGAGGTGAGATGTTAGTTTTTGTTAGAGCTTCATATCTGGTTATTATAAGGAGGTGAGATGTTAGTTTTTGTAGAGCTTCATATCTGGTTATTATAAGGAGGTGAGGTGTTTTTGTAGATGTTTTAGTTTGTAGAGCTGCATATCTGGTTATTATAAGGAGGTGAGATGTTAGTTTCTGTAGAGCTTCATATCTGGTTATTATAAGGAGGTGAGATGTTAGTTTCTGTAGAGCTCCATATCTGGTTATTATAAGGAGGTGAGATGTTAGTTTTTTGTAGAGCTTTATACCTGGTTATTATAAGGAGGTGAGATGTTAGTTTTTGTAGAGCTTCATATCTGGTTATTATAAGGAGGTGAGATGTTAGTTTTTGTAGAGCTTCATACCTGGTTATTATAAGGAGGTGAGATGTTTAGTTTTTGTAGAGCTTCATACCTTGTTTATTATAAGGAGGTGAGATGTTAGTTTTGTAGAGCTTCATACCTGGTTATTATAAGGAGGTGAGATGTTAGTTTTTGTAGAGCTTCATACCTGGTTATTATAAGGAGGTGAGATGTTAGTTTTTGTAGAGCTTCATATCTGGTTATATATAAGGAGGTGAGATGTTAGTTTCTGTAGAGCTTCATACCTGGTTATTATAAGGAGGTGAGATGTTAGTTTTTGTAGAGCTTCATACCTGGTTATTATAAGGAGGTGAGATGTTAGTTTCTGTAGAGCTTCATATCTGGTTATTATAAGGAGGTGAGATGTTTAGTTTTTGTTTTTGTAGAGCTTCATATCTGGTTATTATAAGGAGGTGAGATGTTAGTTTTTGTAGAGCGATATCTGGATAATATCTGTTATTATAAGGAGGTGATAAGATGTTAGTTTTTGTGTAGAGCTTCATATCTGGTTATTATAAGTAGCTGATATGTTATTTTTGTAGAGCTTCATATCTGGTTATTATAAGGAGCTGATATGTTATTTTTTGTAGAGCTTTCATATCTGGTTATTATAAGGAGGTGAGATGTTAGTTTCTGTAGAGCTTTATATCTAGTTATTATAAGGAGGTGAGATGTTAGTTTTTGTAGAGCTTTATATCTAGTTATTATAAGGAGGTGATATGTTAGTTTTTGTAGAGCTTCATATCTGGTTATTATAAGGAGGTGAGATGTTAGTTTCTGTAGAGCTGCATATCTGGTTATTATAAGGAGGTGAGATGTTAGTTTCTGTAGAGCTGCATATCTGGTTATTATAAGGAGGTGAGATGTTAGTTTTTGTAGAGCTGCATATCTGGTTATTATAAGGAGGTGAGATGTTAGTTTCTGTAGAGCTTCATATCTGGTTATTATAAGGAGGTGAGATGTTAGTTTTTGTAGAGCTTCATATCTGGTTATTATAAGGAGGTGAGATGTTAGTTTCTGTAGAGCTTCATATCTGGTTATTATAAGGAGGTGAGATATTAGTTTTTGTAGAGCTTCATATCTGGTTATTATAAGGAAGTGAGATGTTAGTTTTTGTAGAGCTTCATATCTGGTTATTATAAGGAGGTGAGATGTTAGTTTCTGTAGAGCTTCATATCTGGTTATTATAAGGAAGTGAGATGTTATTTTCTGTAGAGCTTCATATCTGGTTATTATAAGGAGGTGAGATGTTAGTTTTTGTAGAGCTTCATATCTGGTTATTATAAGGAGGTGAGATGTTAGTTTCTGTAGAGCTTTATATCTGGTTATTATAAGGAGGTGAGATGTTAGTTTTTGTAGAGCTGCATATCTGGTTATTATAAGGAGGTGAGATGTTAGTTTCTGTAGAGCTGCATATCTGGTTATTATAAGGAGGTGAGATGTTAGTTTTTGTAGAGCTTCATATCTGGTTATTATAAGGAGGTGAGATGTTAGTTTTTGTAGAGCTTCATATCTGGTTATTATAAGGAGGTGAGATGTTAGTTTTTGTAGAGCTTCATATCTGGTTATTATAAGGAGGTGAGATGTTAGTTTTTGTAGAGCTGCATATCTGGTTATTATAAGGAGGTGAGATGTTAGTTTCTGTAGAGCTTCATATCTGGTTATTATAAGGAGGTGAGATGTTAGTTTTTGTAGAGCTTCATATCTGGTTATTATAAGGAGGTGAGATGTTAGTTTTTGTAGAGCTTCATATCTGGTTATTATAAGGAGGTGAGATGTTAGTTTTTGTAGAGCTTCATATCTGGTTATTATAAGGAGGTGAGATGTTAGTTTTTGTAGAGCTTCATACCTGGTTATTATAAGGAGGTGAGATGTTAGTTTTTGTAGAGCTTCATATCTGGTTATTATAAGGAGGTGAGATGTTAGTTTTTGTAGAGCTTCATATCTGGTTATTATAAGGAGGTGAGATGTTAGTTTTTGTAGAGCTTATATTTATTATAAGGAGGTGAGATGTTAGTTTTTGTAGAGCTCATATCTGGTTATTATAAGGAGGTGAGATGTTAGTTTTTTGTAGAGCTTCATATCTGGTTATTATAAGGAGGTGAGATGTTAGTTTTTGTAGAGCTTCATATCTGGTTATTATAAGGAGGTGAGATGTTAGTTTTTGTAGAGCTTCATATCTGGTTATTATAAGGAGGTGAGATGTTAGTTTTTGTAGAGCTTCATATCTGGTTATTATAAGGAGGTGAGATGTTAGTTTTTGTAGAGCTGCATATCTGGTTATTATAAGGAGGTGAGATGTTAGTTTTTGTAGAGCTGCATATCTGGTTATTATAAGGAGGTGAGATGTTAGTTTTTGTAGAGCTGCATATCTGGTTATTATAAGGAGGTGAGATGTTAGTTTCTGTAGAGCTTCATACCTGGTTATTATAAGGAGGTGAGATGTTAGTTTTTGTAGAGCTCCATATCTGGTTATTATAAGGAGGTGAGATGTTAGTTTTTGTAGAGCTTTATACCTGGTTATTATAAGGAGGTGAGATGTTAGTTTTTGTAGAGCTTCATATCTGATTATTATAAGGAGGTGAGATGTTAGTTTCTGTAGAGCTTCATACCTGGTTATTATAAGGAGGTGAGATGTTAGTTTTTGTAGAGCTTCATACCTGGTTATTATAAGGAGGTGAGATGTTAGTTTTTGTAGAGCTTCATACCTGGTTATTATAAGGAGGTGAGATGTTAGTTTCTGTAGAGCTTCATACCTGGTTATTATAAGGAGGTGAGATGTTAGTTTTTGTAGAGCTTCATATCTGGTTATTATAAGGAGGTGAGATGTTAGTTTCTGTAGAGCTTCATACCTGGTTATTATAAGGAGGTGAGATGTTAGTTTTTGTAGAGCTTCATACCTGGTTATTATAAGGAGGTGAGATGTTAGTTTCTGTAGAGCTTTATATCTAGTTATTATAAGGAGGTGAGATGTTAGTTTTTGTAGAGCTTCATATCTGGTTATTATAAGGAGCTGATATGTTAGTTTTTGTAGAGCTTCATATCTGATTATTATAAGGAGGTGAGATGTTAGTTTTTGTGAAGCTTCATATCTGGTTATAATAAGTAGCTGATATGTTATTTTTTGTAGAGCTTCATACCTGGTTATTATAAGGAGGTGAGATGTTAGTTTCTGTAGAGCTTTATATCTAGTTATTATAAGGAGGTGAGATGTTAGTTTTTGTAGAGCTTCATATCTGGTTATTATAAGGAGCTGATATGTTATTTTTTGTAGAGCTTCATATCTGGTTATTATAAGGAGCTGATATGTTATTTTTTGTAGAGCTTCATACCTGGTTATTATAAGGAGGTGAGATGTTAGTTTCTGTAGAGCTTTATATCTAGTTATTATAAGGAGGTGAGATGTTAGTTTTTGTAGAGCTTCATATCTGGTTATTATAAGGAGCTGATATGTTATTTTTTGTAGAGCTTCATATCTGGTTATTATAAGGAGGTGAGATGTTAGTTTCTGTAGAGCTTCATATCTGGTTATTATAAGGAGGTGAGCTGTATATCTTGTTTACAGCGGACGTGGTACGAACTCTTTGGGATCAAACAGAACTGATAGAGAATCCGTACACTGAAAGACTAATTCAACAGAAAGGGGGAGCCTGGGGTGGAAGGCGGTTAGGGTTGGGGAGGTGGCTTTAGGGTTGGGGAGGGAGTTTAGGGTTGGGGAGGGACGAGTAGAATATCTGGGCAGAGCTGTGTCACTAATCAGATATTCGTTGGTGCAGTGCTTTAAAAAAAAAAAAAAACACACACACACACACAAACTAGTTAATCACTAAATGGAAGTGAGGAGTTACCCAAAATGAACTGATATGCTTGTCTGTTTCAGACATAGCTGTATATTTGGATAGTCACTGTATTATCTTCATTTCCCATAAAGCTCAGATCTGTATCTCAGTCCTTGAGCCGGCGGGGACTGATGTTGCCCATCTGTGACCATGTGAGATGTCACAATCTCCCAGTGCATTCCTTCCTTGTAGGTCCTCATATCTAACGTGGGTTCCCAGGTTGGCACAGCCTTATATGGATACCACAAAAAGTCTGGGAAGCAAAGCTTTCAGGTGCAGTTTTTAATACATTATCCATCATCTAGAAATGTGAGCCTGGTACCAGATGAGTGTCAAGCTTGTACTTACTTTATTTATCGAAGATACCGTATCACTGCTGGTTTTAATGTTGAGGGCTTTGGAGGAAGAGCACAGCTCGCCTCCTAAACTGAGTCTGATTTTCCCAACAGCATTAACGATTTCAGCCAGTTAATTGCCCTGCCACCTGCCATGGTTGCAGGCTTTTCAAACTATCTGCCCCTTGATAACATTTGAGGCCTGCGTATTCTGATCTGGGAACGTTTCTAACACACCCCAGTATCACTGAGTTAGTTCTAGTCCTGGAGAACATCCCTCCCCTTCCACCACCGCCATCATCGTCCTTATCATCATCATCGTTATCCTCATCATATAAGCTGAAGCTTCCTCAGATGCCGCTGATGGCAACAACAGTTACAATGTGGAGGTTCCTGTACAGGCCAGTGGCAGTATCTGAGGCTGGGCTCATTCTTTCATAGTCCGACTGGCCCTTTGTGGGGGATGAGGTCAGCATCACTCCAGCCGCTTTTACCTCCCATGAATTTAACTTCTACCGGTTGAAGGCTGGGTTGACATGGGAGTCAAAGCGATGTATGCAAAACAAAATCCGGCACCACGCGAATTTGAACCTACGACATTCGGAACGTAAGTGAGCACCTAACCGATACACCACGGTGGTTTCTGGTAATGGCGATGACTGCAAATATTTCGCATTTATGCGATTATTCTTTCTTTCTTTCTCTACTGTCCATTTTGTACTTTATGCGCGAGGAGTCGCAGGTTAACCGATGATCGGATTCTGAGCCAGGGCAGGCTCGGCTGCCCTGTATGCTGTGATATTGTTGGGTCTCGAGATGTCAATGACTTCTTTAATCCATATTCTTCTTGGTCTTCCACTGATGTTTCTGCTTTCATGCTGTACACTCTTGTTGCTTACATCACCGGATTCCTTGCCATTTTAAGTGACCAAATCATTGCAGTCTTTGTTTTTGTTTTTTCAACACCTATTATTAGAAGTGCAAAAGCTAAACTTGGTAATCTTGCAGTGGTGAATGATGTAGTTACTAAATACTGAAATGTCTAGAGCCACTCTTGCGATATAACTAAACGTTTTCTTTGTTTTGCTTTGTTTGAAACACACATTGTGGGTTTGGTCTCTAGAAAGAATGTGTCCAGAAGGAAAGTACGGATTATTCTGTGACAGAAAATGCAAGTGTGACTTCGAAGAAATATGCAACGTGGTCTCGGGAGTGTGCGCTCCGGGCTGCCCCACTGGGAAGTACGGGTTTAACTGCTCGTTCAGCTGCAGCCAAACGTGTGACCACGGTCTCTGTCACAGTCGCTTCGGAGGCTGCCACAAGTGCATCCCAGGCTACAGCGGGGAGTTCTGTAACGTAGGTGAGTGTACGTGTCATAGCAGCATGTGCTTGCAGACTCTACACTGTGTCCGTATAATTGGAGGATCGAGCACATTTCCTTCGTTTGCCTGTTTCATCATCGTCATCGTCATCGTCATCATCGTCATCATCGTCATCATCATCATCATCGTCATCATCATCATCATCATCGTCATCATCGTCATCATCGTCATCATCAACGTGTTCGTCGGGAGCAGTGAATTATTTCATTCATTAATATCCTAATTTATTAATTTATGTATTCGTTCAATCAGCCAGCCAGCTAGCCAGTCTTTCTTTCTGTATTTCTTTCTTTCTGTCTTTCTTTCTGTCTTTCTTTCTTTCTGTCTTTCTGTCTTTCTTTCTTTCTTTCTTTCTTTCTTTCTTTCTTTCTTTCTTTCTTTCTTTCTTTCTTTCTTTCTTTCTTTCTTTCTTTCTTTCTTTCTTTCTTTCTTTCTTTCTTTCTTTCTTTCTTTCTTTCTTTCTCTTTTGTCTTTCTTTCTTTTCTTTCTTCTTTCTTTCTTTCTTTCTTTCTTTCTTTCTTTTCTTTCTTTTTCTGTCTGTCTGTCTGTCTGTCTGTCTGTCTGTCTGTCTGTCTGTCTGTCTTTCTTTTTTCTTTTTCTTTTTCTTTCTTTTCTTTCTTTCTTTCTTTTCTTTCCTTTCTTTCTTTCTTTCTTTCTTTCTTTTTTCTTTCTTTCTTTCTTTCTGTCTTTCTTTCTTTCTTTCTGTCTTTCTTTCTTTCTGTCTTTTTTCTTTCTTTCTGTCTTTCTTTCTCTTTCTTTCTTTCTGTCTGTCCTTTCTTTTCTTTTCTTTCTTTCTTTCTTTTCTTTCTTTCTTTCTTTCTTTTCTTTCTTTCTTTCTTTCTTTCTTTCTTCTCTTTCTTTCTTTCTTTCTTTCTTTCTTTCTTTCTTTCTTTTCTTTCTTTCTTTCTTTCTTTCTTTCTTTTCTTTCTTTCTTTCTTTTTTCATTCCTTCTTTCCTGGAATTAGAATAGTGGTTACATTTCTGATTCTGCATTGCCCGCTGCCCAAACCTGGCACTCTCTAGTCAGTGTGATTAGAACCCTACACATGCCTGATTGTTTTCTGATATCAAGATATGAACATAATATAACATGCATCTCTAAATCTGAGCTGGTATTATACCATCTCTGTGTGATAGCCTCTCTGTGGTGATAAGAGAATCTCTTTTTTAGGAAGTGAGAAAAAATATTCGCTTTCTTCCACAAAAGCGTGCCGTAAAAAAAAAAAAAAAAACTATCTATGGCTATTTTATTCAAATTGGAGAACATCTTTTTCTATAACAAGACCACAGTCAAGAAGACGACGAAGGACCAGAGCTGTCTGTTTTACTATACAGCCGGTGAACACTAACAAGAAGAAACAAGAGAGTAAAAGACTCCACCCTATATCAGACTGCGATTTATCTGTCTGTTTTGACACATTTTGTTGCTTTGATCTCCGCCACTATGTCTCTCCTATTGCACATTGTTGTGTCCCTTCAGAGTGTGCTCCAGGCACTTACGGCCAGAACTGCAGGAATACATGTTCAGAGCACTGCCATGAGGTGTGCGACTTCCACAGCGGAGTCTGCAGCTGTGTCGGCAATTTCTCGGAACCACTTTGCGACGGTATTTATACCCAGTCCTTGTGAGAGTGTGTGGCTTTGGGATATGTCTGCGTGCACAGGTGTCATTACATGTCCCCCCCCCCCCCCCAGAAGCTATGAGTTGTTAACCCTTAGGCTCGGTATTATGGACATCGCAACTCTTCGGCCTTAATTCCATGATAAATACCGTAAATCTGGGAGAAATATGGCTTTTCTGCCAACCCCCGGGCGTGAACTCGGACCACAAGAAGTTCGTCACCCTGTCACCGTGCAGTCCAGTTTAGCCAACTACGCTAGAGAGCCGGGCACATTGGGATTTCAGACCCTTAAGTACTCCCCTCTCCTATTCCAGAATGTAGAATCTTGAATGTTGAATTAGGAATCAACATCACAGCACGTAGGACACTCTCATAAGCGCTACGTCCCCATCTTCAGCAGCAAGCGAACAGTGCCGATTCCAATGACACCAGTACCTGTGTGATAGTATACCCGTCTCGCCTTTCCCTTGAGTGTCGGCCAGATCCCCTGGTAACTGTCTGCAGTGTTATTCTCCCCAGACCGTAATACCCCGCAGAAAATAGTTGAGTTGGGCTGTACTGAGTCACTTTTTTGTCTTGCTTACTCTCGCTCGTTGTCTGATGTCAGTGATTGCTCACTACATGCCTGAACTCACACTCAAGGAAACAAAACCCACAGACGACAGAGATAGGAATCCCTGTGACAGTTTATGTTCTTTCAATCGACACACATGATTAACATCAGCCCACAGGTCTTTGATCTCTCGTCTATGAAGTTCTACGCCACCACAGTTAGTTATTTATCCTTCGGTACTCACACACAGGATGCTGAAAGTTCTCAGTCGATCCTTGCACACAGTAGGGATGACTTGGGCTGGCTGGATTCACAGCAAGAACCTTCCCATGCACGTCTGTTGCTGCAGAACTGGTCAAACACACTTAGATCCGGTTTACTAGACCTCCATATATCTCAGACGTCTGTACCGCCAAAAGGGCGTCTCCATCCTGTGTCCCAAGCCTATCTGTCTGATATATTCTCACGGGATTTGTATTCAACAATTTACCCTTTTTTGACTTCTTTGTGCACCTCACTGATCACTTTTTGCCAGTCCCGTTCTTTTTCTTACCAGGGTTTTATTTTTCCGCCATTGGGGATTATACACCCGTAGACTGGGGTTTCGTTTCATGAAGTTAATGCAAACTTTGACACGTTACAATGAGGAAAAAGGTAAAAAAAAAAAGTGGTGGGGGGGGGGGGGGGCATTTATTATGGACATCACTCTGTAGGCATTGTTGCCTTCGTACAGTAAATAGATTTGTGTGTGTGTGTGTTTGTGTGTGTGTGTGTGTGTGTGTGCGTGCGTGTGTGTGTGTGTGTGCGTGCGCGCGCGTGTGTGTGTGTGTGTGTGCGTGCGCGCGCGTGTGTGTGTGTGTGTGTGATAATTCGGATAACTCTGAAAGCTGCACATTATAAACTGTCTTGTTGTTCCTAAAAGTTCTACCCTCTGGCATCGGTCATGATCAGGGAGGTAGCCACTCAAAGCTGGGTCCACCTGGGAGCCGAGATCCTCACGGAGACAAGTCCGGTCCCCGTCAGAACCCCAGCCCCACGACCTTCCGATCCACAGCGGAGAGTCTAGACGCTACACCACAGCGGAGAGTCTAGACGCTACACCACAGCGGAGAGTCTAGACGCTACACCACGGCGGAGAGTCTAGACGCTACACCACGGCGGAGAGTCTAGACGCTACACCACGGCGGAGAGTCTAGACCCTACACCACGGCGGGGAGTCTAGACCCTACACCACGGCGGAGAATCTAGACGCTACACCACGGCGGAGAGTCTAGTCCCTATACCACGGCGGAGAGTCTAGACCCTACACCACGGCGGAGAGTCTAGACCCTACACCACAGCGGAGAGTCTAGACGCTACACCACAGCGGAGAGTCTAGACCCTACACCACAGCGGAGAGTCTTGACCCTACACCACAGCGGAGAGTCTAGACGCTACACCACAGCGGAGAGTCTAGACCCTACACCACAGCGGAGAGTCTAGACGCTACACCACAGCGGAGAGTCTAGACGCTACACCACAGCGGAGAGTCTAGACGCTACACCACAGCGGAGAGTCTAGACGCTACACCACAGCGGAGAGTCTAGACGCTACACCACAGCGGAGAGTCTAGACGCTACACCACAGCGGAGAGTCTAGACGCTACACCACAGCGAGGCCGACCTCTACTACGGTATAAAGATGTGTGCAAGCGGGACATGAATGATACATGTATTTAGGTGGACTCGTGGGAACAAAATGACATGGTCTGTGTAGTGTGGAAAGTGCATATCAAGAAGGGAATGAGACTAAAGGAAGAAATGATTGCAGAACGGATGAGAGCTGAGCGTCTGAGAAGAAACGGATTAAACACAAATGTTGACAACAATGGTCCTGAAAGCCTACGATATCACTCTGGAAGACTTTTCTTGACACGGGCAGGTCTTGCTAGTCACACTCGCCATCGCCATGGGTTGTGAGTCCCATGCCTCCTCATAGCCCAATATAACACTATCATCTGGAAAGACGGAAAGGTGCCAGTCAATCAATGTAATGTCTTACTAGTACTGTGCAATCATAAACACAAACCCCTCTAATAGCTTTTTTGGAACTGGGGGGAGGGAGTGGGTGGGGCATGGCCGGCTCGGTTTTCTTTATTGTAACAATTATTTTGAGGGGGGGTTTGGGGGGGGGGGGGGGTTAGAAAGGGCTTCAAGGTGGTACTTGAGTTCCTGCGTCCTCACGCCCTTTTCAAACATCATTGACGTGAACTTGTGGGCGGTTGTGTTGCAGATTGTCTGGCCGGATATTTTGGAGAAAACTGTACCGAAGAATGTCCGGATCTGTGCTACCAACGTGTCTGCGAGAGGCTGACCGGAACTTGCACTCGCTGCCAGGGTCTTCGCGTCGGCCCTTTCTGTGAAGGTAGGGGCCCCTTGAAACATGGTTGCCAGCCCATTTTTTGTTTTAACTCGTGTCCCACAAGATTACTAAGCCAATTTCAACACTTTGTAGTCCAAATTAAAAACTCAAATACTTGTGAACAAATTCATCTCTTTGCAAATCAAATAAAAAACATTAAAAAAAAAAAAAACCGTTTGTTGCAAACATTCTCACCCTTGTTTTCAAATTCAATTTATCCGATGAGTGACAATAAACAAGTCCATTGTAGTAATACAATGTTTAGTAGCTACTTGCTTAGTCTGGCAAGCAGGAGTTTTAGTCTTTCTTGCAAAGTTTACCTGGCAACGCTGCATTAATGCCTACTTTCACTTCTGCAGTTGTTAACATTTCAAAGACAGTAAAAGCGCGCGCAAAAATATGTTTCACCGGACCATCAAACATGAAATTATTACAATGATCGATTAAATCTTCATTCCCAAGAAACGCTGTGTGTGTTGATTGAGAAGTTCCAATTTGCTTAAAGCACAATGTCTGCGTCGTTAGGGTGTCCCGCATATACCAGTTTGTATAATTGTTTTGTACTGGCCGTTAGTGTTTGAAAAAAAAAATCTATAAAATATCCCGGAAAGGCTACTCTAGCGTTTCACTTTGTTTTCAAGTCTTTGTTAGTACACTTAAGCGCAAAGTTATCGAAATCATTGCGAGAGTTATTCTCGGGCTGACTTCTCCGATGTCGGTCTTTGACTGACCGTGTTCAAACCACATATACAGTCCGCAAAATGCACCTTTCTGCGGATGAAGCTCTGAAGTTGTTTCATTCAGATTTTTGTAATTTTGATTACGAGAATAAATACTTACATTTTTTTGGTAAAGTGATTCAGAGGGTTCATTTACATCACTGACATCTGAGTGGTCTGTTGTTAGAACTATGGCAGTTATCATGAGTTTGGTGTAGAAAATGTTTCGTTGCTGCCTAGATCCTCTGGCTGATAAATTATCCGGTAACGTATCAAAACTTTTGAATCTGTTAGAAAATGTAACAAACTTTAACATGTTATTCTGAATTTGTATATTTACTAGTCTTTCGGCTGCAAAACCATGATAAGTGACGAATTTGTTTTTGCTAAAGTGGTTAGTTCAACGTTAGTCTCCCCATTTTCATTCTTATACACTAGCTCACTTCTGACTGGCCGACCTTGAGACACGTTACCTTGCCACAAAATGACGTCGAGTTTTCCACAGTACAGTTGATATCGCGTGTTCTATATTTCAGCATGGCAGCGCTTTTAACACTCCAAAAACATGGACACACTGGGTCCAGCACAACCCCCCCCCCCCCCGAGGTTACTAAAACCTTTGTCACAGGCTTTCTCTTTTTCTGAATAAAAACGTTAATGCAAACATTAAGGAAACCAAACAAGAGAGCTGAACACACCTGTAATTTCCAGGAAAGTAGACTAGGCCAACAATGTTATCAATAAAAACTGACCTACTTTGTTGTTGAAACTAACTTCGAACTAAATGCTAAAGTTTGTCTTTGTAAACATAGCACTTGCTGACATGTTTTAATACTAACTATTAAAGTATTAAACCTTGACATATCATTCACATTCAAAACGTATTTTCATTCATCTTAAAAATGATATATACTTGTGTTTTGTTAGTTGCGTGTCGTTTATTACCAGGACGTCGCAGAACCAACCCCTACTTTTGTTGGCTGTTGTAGATTCTCCAGGCAAATGTTACGTTCAGTAGTTTGGCCTTCTCAACGATCGAAACATGTCAACATATAGCAATGTCTCTCTTTGTGTCTCATTTCATATTATTAAAATGGTTAAATCAATTGGTTGTTCAACAAACGTGATCTGAAAATATTTAATTTGATCAATAAAAGGTTAAATCTGATTTGTAAACAACTGAATTTGATTCGGAAAAGGGTGAATATGATTTGCAACAGAGAGAAGTTGATTTTCAACAGGACGAATTTAAGTAGGAAAAAGATTAATTTCGATTACCAATCCTATTTTTTTATGTGTCATAAATATCACTATAAGTAACATTGCACATGATTAATCACATACACTTTTTATAGCTACTGAAATACGAACCACTGGAAAGAGAGTTCTTTAGACTTAGAACACAGAACCATACAACGATCCCGAGTTACTTAATTGCTACCAATTGTTTCCTTTCATATTATTGCATGCTCGGTAACGCTATCGAAGGTCACCAAATGCGTTTTGATACCTGGAGTCATAAACGTGTAGCCGCATTTCTAACAAACTCTACTATACAGACTTGTATGTGTTAGGTCGAAGGTCTGTGCAGTGGACAAAGTTGTATGCGACAAGACAATGTTGTATGTGTCAGGTCGAAGGTGCGTTTACGCCAGGAAAATGTTGTATGTGTCAGGACAAAGGTTATGTACCAGTGTAAAGGACAATGTTGTATGTGTCATATGTCAAAAGACAATGTGTTATATGTCAAAACAATGTTGTATGTGTAAGGATAAGATTGTATGTGGTGAAAAAGCTGGCGAAGGGTCCAGTAACTTTCAGATTGGACGCGATGAGTGCCGACGTCATAGCTTTTGATGATGATGATGATGATGAGGACTGTAAAAGATCAAATGTTGTTCGTGAACGCCCACAATACATGATTTCAGACTGTCCTCCTGATTATTATGGATCCTTGTGCTATACAAAATGTTCATCCTTCTGTGAGAACGGAACGTGCAACAAGGAAGACGGCCAATGCTCGGGTTGTACTGAAGGCTACTATGGACGCGGATGTAATTTAGGTACACGTGTGTGTTTGTACATCTGTTTCTGTCTTCCTGTCATCGTTGTTCTTCATGTCTCTAGTCTGGAGTGGAGTAGACATTGAATATTTTCCGAACCGCTGCATCATTAAATACTCAATTTGGTTATAGTTTTTGTCATAGCTGGTTAGGTTTTCTACACGGAGTGTGCCCCCCCCCCCCTCCCCCCCCCCACGAATTCCCAAGATTTTCCAAGTTGGCTAACGCAGTATGCATTTATCTGTGTAAATATTCGACCTCACAGCATTCAGGAGAAGTTCATACAAACTCCGTCTCCTTTCTTTACAGTCACAGTAGAGGCTCCTACTGATGATATTCGTTGTCATATGGTTAACTACTCGTCTTGCCCTTCCCCTGAGCGACGGCGAGCCCACAGAAGGTCGTTGCTGCAGCATTTTCTCCAGGAGCGAGTTTTCAGAATCTTCCACGGGATTTGTTAACTCATTTCGCAGGCGAGAGATCACCACTGCGTTGTGCAGTTGGAGTACACCCCCAATGGGGCCAGTCCAGCCAAACTATCTGCCTGCTCATTCCCAAACACGCCTAAATTGTTCGGGCGAAATAGCCATGTGACTCTTACCACCTGCCACCTCTAGATTGATACGACCCATTTCATATGACGAACAGTTGACTCCACCTTCATGAGGATACGAATACGATAATAAGACAGTTTGTTCAGCTGGGATTGTCTCCATTCATCGGAATGCGGTAGTTACCGCCCCAACCTCCATTCTCATGCTGGATGTACTTTTGTCATTTGCCAAGCTCTCCTAGGTCATCCGTCTGCCCTATATTTTCATAAACAAACTTCACCACTTTTTTTTACCTTGCGACTGACCCATTAATGAATGCAATCCCACCTCCTGGTCTAGAGTTGTCTTCTAGCAATTGAGCCTCATCGTCTGCACGTCCTGCCGCCCAGTCACTGCAATTCCCTCCCAGTATAACTGTGCACTTTTCTCGGCCCTCTCTCGTATTTACCCATTCTTGTCCTCCGCTAATCTCTTTAAAGCAGCAGACAATGTTGATTTCTTTTTAACCTGTGTGATTCTTGATCTGCCCTTCTCAAGTCCGCCACCCTTCAAAGTATTGTAAGAAACAAGATGTTTTACAGATAAGCAGGTTTCTCTTGTCCGTTTCATCTCTTGATATGCCTGTACATAGGAATTTGTCTGTTGGCTACTGATACGTAGGTGATGTTATCTTTGGCGTAGATGATGTTGTCCTTGGCGTAGATGATGTTATCCTTGACGTATGTGATGTTATCCTTGGCGTAGGTGATGTTATCTTTTGCGTGGGTGATGTTATTCTTGACGTAGGTGTTGTTATCCTTGGCGTAGGTGATGTTATCCTTGGCGTGGGTGATGTTATCCTTGACGCAGGTGATGTTATCCTTGGAGTTGTGATCACCTCGGCATTCACTTTTTAGTTGTTGCTGTATCTATGATGTTCTCAACAGTCTTCAGCAAGACTAAATCTTTACTGCATTTATGTTTCTCTTCGTTTTCTCGCTCAGTGTCTAAGATGGAAGTCACTTTTGTACTCACTGGGATCATTCGTTACTCAGGGTCCAGCCATGGAGCCATTTCTCACACACTGTCAACGGCGAGTTCACTGTTTAATCTTCTTCTTCTTCTTCTTCTTCTTCACTTCCTCTTTTACCGCTGTGGGTGTCGAGGGAGATATACGGTTCTGTTTCTAGCTCTTCTGGCTGCCTCGACCATAGGCACATCGTGCTGTTGTAGAGTTTCTCTGATGTTATCCTTCCATCTTGTTCTTGGTCTACCCCGTGCTCTACGTCCTTCTTCTCTTTCCATGTATGCTTTGTATGGTATGGTGTCACAGGGCATTCTCTCTAAGTGGGCAAACCATTTCACTTGCTGTCTTTGTATGTAATCCAGAATTGGTTCTGTGCCGACTTGTTCTCTTATGATCTCATTCCTGATTTTATCTCTTATGGTCACTCCTACAGCCCTTCTCAGACATCTCATTTCCGTGGTTACTAATTTTCTTTTATGGTTTGTTGTGAGTGACCATGTCTGGCACTGGTAGCACAGAGTTGGAATAAATATGCTTTGAATAAGATGTCTCTTTGTGCTGATTGGGATTGTCTTATGCTGTAAGAGGGGGGCTAGCTGTCCCAATACTTGGTTTGCTTTACTGCATCTAATGTCAATTTCTTTATCCAATTTCCCATCTTCGGTAAATGTAGTTCCCAGATATCTAAACTCAGATGCCTGTTTAATGTCTTTGTATTAATCTGTTTAATCATTGCCCAAAATTGGGATCATTTGTTTGTGCTCGTTATCCAACACTGGCACAATGACCCTGCTTGACGTTCAGCAATGTAATGCAGTGTGCTTGGACAGATAGTCGCTGGATCAGCAACAGTGACAAGTAGAAACAATTGATGGCAACACAATACTTGAACTTTAGAAATGTAATGCAGTGTGCTTGGACAGATAGTCGCTGGGTCAGCAACAGGGACAAGTATAAACAGTTGTTGGGAACACAATGCTTGACGAAATTAATTGTTTATTTTCTGCTCCAGCATACGCCATCTCTGTCCTCTGTCGCTAAAAACATTGTCTAAGGATCTGACAACAAGCACTCCAATCATCTGTCTCAGACACATGAACTTACTGCCAGTACATTCTGGATGTTTCCCAATTTCACGGAAGATCATTGCAGGCTAGCATAACTCACAAAACGTTCACTGCAGAAACACAGCAGACGGTCAATTAGCCGGCTTCTATCGCAACGACAATTAACAAGATATTCATGACTCCTGCACGGCAAGGATACATTCAGTTCAGAGACTGACAAACTATCTCCCATGCTTTTAGCTCCTGCACCAGCACAAGCTGATCTGACTTTTCCCTTTCTGTGAGCGACCTCATTTCCCTTACACGCGATTCTATCCGCGCAATTCCACATACTTACAGTAGAGGACTTCTTTGTGCATGGACATTATCATCTTCTCAAACAAATTTTATCTACATATGTTCTACCTGGCCTTTCCTCTCTAAGCTATATTAATTACGATTCTGAGGATTGATTTAGTCTCTAACCCGCTAAACTGCTTATACTTTACTCTGTAATACCCCTCATTACAACAGGGATTATTTGTTTACTCAAAGTCAACATTGGGCACATTTGCCACTCATGGTCAAGACTGGGGTCATTATCTACTCATAGCCACCTACCATAAGCATACAATAAAGCTTGCATAATCTACTGTTAAAGAAAAATTACGTGCTACAGAAAATTCTAAAAACAGACTAACAGAAAATCATCAAACATGCAACGAAATGGAACACTGTCGGTTTGAGAAACGAGGGAGTCTAAGGGAAACTTAAAGACGTAAGGTTCACGTTGTGCTCGCTCCTTCGTGGAGTTTCGACTACATGTCCCACAGCGGTTAAGGCCAAGATGAGGTAGAGGACTGAATAATAAAACTGAGGCGGTATACATAATATATATAATATACTATATCATATATATTATAGACCACTGGAAAGATCTGTGGAAGGAGCGATAAAGGAAGACAACGAGAGAAGATGCCTGACAGTCTTGTTGCATGGCATGGAGGTGTGTCGGCACACGAACTGATACATGCTGCAGGAGATCGCGGATTATGAAGAGGCATGATCGCCCACGCCAGTCGGCAAGGCACCTGATGATGATGATGATGATGATTATATATATATATATAAGAAGAGAAATACTGACTTCTTGAAAGATGTGATAAACAGCATCTTTTCTCGGAAGCTGAAATATTTTGGTCATATCAAGAGCCACGACGGATTGGGAAAAAAAAAACTATAGCAGAAGGCATGGTACCAGGAAGGAGGGGCAGGTGCCGACCGACACGAAGATGGGCACAGGATATAAGTGACTCCTTGAGTATGAAAGTTCATGAGGCGGGAGAACTAGCGAGAGACCGAGTTTTTTTCAGGCAGACGGTGATGAGAGCGACGTTCTGCAAAGAACCTGCTACATGTTGGATGGATATGTATGTGCGTGTGTGTGTATATATATATATATATATATATATATATATATATATATATATATATACATAACATGTAGTGTACATTATATCATACCTCATTTTTAGTCCTCTTGTATCTTCAGTGTCAAGATAAAGTACAATTGCGGCAAAGTGCCCGTTTGTCATCTTCGTAAATTGGAATTGCCAGGGACTGTTTTAACCCTCTGTCTATGGTTTTCAAGGTTAGCCTCTGCTTCGATTACCGCCTGTTCTGCACATCATTGCTCGCAGTGGTTTCCTGTTTCTTAGAATTCGGGTTATTTGGCTAAATGATTTCACCTGTTCATCATCATCACCATCATCATCATCATCATCATCATCATCATCATCATCATCATCATCATCACCATCATCATCATCATCATCATCATCATCATCATCATCACTACCATCATCACCACCATCTCCACCATCATCATCACCATCATTTTCCACTTCTGTCGTTAAGCGTTGTGAGGAGAAATGGCTATTGTCATTCCCTGTCGATGTAGTAGCTCTGCAAGGTCGCCATCCATTAGGCGGCCTTTTGCTTTCACTTCCGGATGTTGGTATGTGTAGCGCCTGCGTTAGTAGTTATTCTGGCTGCATTGTTATTCAATGACCAAACAATTTTATGTGCTGTTTCTCAATAAATGTGATGCATGGTGTTGTTCCTATAGTCTATCTGAAAATATAATTGGTAACTTTGTCTCAGATGGTTAAGTTGGCGGCTTTTCTCAGGCACCTCATTTCACAGGTGGTAATTTCGCTTTTTTTTTTTCTAAAACAAAACCTAGAGCTACCGCTATCTTATTTTCCTTTGGATTTCATTGTTTCCGACCTTTTCTCTTCTTCTTTCATTGTTCGCTCTTCGCGTGAATCTCATTTCAGTTCTTTTAATTTTCTTTACCGTTTTATTTTTATAACACAGGTCTAGCATTTATGT